GTAACCTAAAATTTTTTTCTTATAATCTAAAAATAAATACTATAAAAAAGTAATCTATATTTTCAAATATTATTATGTCAAATTTTATTTAAATATTCTAAATTGTTAAAAAAATAGATCAGTAGCATATTTATAGCACCAATACAAGCAAATTTGCTTGTATTGGTCTACAATCTAAGAAATAAGCACTTTGATGATGGTTATATAATTTTAAATATAAAATTTACAAAAATAATAAATTGCCAATTATGTTATTATTTAAAAAAGTTTATACTCACCTACAATTTTTAAAACAAAGCTTAATTTTTTTATTTTAAAAAAACAATATTTTACAAAATATTCACAACTCATTATATATCTTACATTCCTTTGGGATTGATGAGTAGCTTGGACACTATCATATTGATAGTATTTATTATTTCATAGAAATCATATTAATAATTATGTTGAACAGAGTTTGGTATCATCAAGAATATTGTCTTTGCTCAAATTCAGATATACAATACTATGCAAATCTTTTAATTTATTATAGAAAACATGAACCGTTTTTATAAACAAAGATTAATAATTATTGCAAACCATCATTCTGATTATCTTGAACTATTAAAATAGTTTTTTAGTCCTGGATGTAGTACTTCTAGATCCAGTTCAGATTTGGTCTAGTCTGGGTCTGGTCCGGGATTAAACTGAACTCAAACTTAAAATTTTATTAATTTCAAACTTTGAACTGAACTCAAACTTAATTATAAGTTCAGTTTGAATTTGGTCTGAATTTTCAAACTAGTTTGAGTCTAATTTGAATTTTCAAACTACCTTTCCATTTTCAGCAATTAATTTAAAGGTATACTAGAAACAGAGTAATATTTAAAATTTCACGTATACCAGAAATGGAGTAATATGAAAATTTCACATAGTGCATAGTTATACAGCAAATTAAATAGTGTTCGTATGCAAAATCTTGTATTTTATTGAATATATGAATATAGCGAAGCAAGGATGTGAATATATATTGAAACTTTGCATATTGTATCTTCACAACTTGCTTCTGTATTTTGTATCATATAAGATTGTTAACCTAACTTTTTATATACTATATCTAATTCAGTATTTTATTTTCTCAAGGTCTTCTATTTTTCTATTATTGATTTTGATCTACCAACTATTGCCTATAATATAGTAGAATAATGCTCATAAAATTGTATGTTTGATTTCCCAAATTCATGTATATTCTTTATTATCTAATATCTACGATCTGTTTAGAGCTAATCAAGTTATGTATGTTTTGCTATTTTAAAAAAATTGAATATAATAAGTAAATTCAATTTTGGTTATTTTGAATTTTTTGTCAGATTATAACTTAAACAATAAATTGTTTAAATATAGTAATTGATTGATTTGTTGTTATTGAATAATGCTATGTAACAATAATTTGTAACTCTGTCTATATGTATTTTAGTCTTGAACTAGTTAGAAAATTAATTCAAATTCCTGTTAATAAACGGATTGATCTTACTATTTTTAGATTCAACCCTTTACCATTACTGGTATATAAAATTTATTTAAAAAAACTTTTTTAATTTTTGATTTGTACCTTATCGATTAAAGTATCTAGTATTTATGATTATTAAACAATAGTAATAGTTAAACATGTCACTAACTAAAACAGCAAAAAAAAAAACCTTAAATAAAATATGACAAACTATATACTAACAGTGGCACCAAAAAACAAACACCAAACCCAAAGAATGTTACCTGAAAAAAAAATTAGATTAGTTGAACATGCAACTGACTAAAACAAATCACAGTAGCTAAATATAACAGAATATATACTAATAGCAGCACCAAAATAGTAATATGCGATGAATACCAAACCTGAAGAATGAAAAGAAATTGTGATAGTTAAACATATCACTGGCTAAAATAGCAAAAAAAAAAGGCCTTAAATAAAATATAACAAACTACATACTAATGACAGCATCAAAAGACAAACACCAAACCCAAAGAACATTACCTGAAAAAAAAATTGAATCAGTTAAATATGCAACTGACTAAAACAAACTACTAGCAGTTAAATATAATAAAATATATACTAATGGCGACAAATACCAAACCTGAAAAATATTAACTGAAAAGAAAATTGTGATAGTTAAACATGAAATAGCAAAAAAAAAAGTCTGAAATAAAATATGACAAACTATATATTAATAGCAGCACCAAAAGACAAATACCAAACCCAAAGAATGTTACCTGAAAAGAAAATTAGATTAGTTGAACATGCAACTGACTAAAACAATTAAATATAACAAAATATATACTAATAGCAGCATCAAAATAGTAACATATAATGAATACCAACCCTGAAGAATGAAAAGAAAATTGTAATAGTTAAATATATCACTGACTAAAACTGAAAAAAAAAGGCCTTAAATAAATATGACAAACTACATACTAATGACAGCACCAAAAAACAAATACCAAACCAGAAGAATGTATTACTTGAAAAGAAAAATATGTTAATTAAATATATTAATGACTAAATATATCAGATCTTCTGAAAAAGAGAACACCGATTTACAGTAAATCATTGTTTATATATTCTGTACTTATGTAATATATAATTATAGATAATATGCTGTATATGATATATTGATATCAGTATATATATTATAAATATTGATTACTTATTGTAAAAAGTTTATATAGCTTTTTTGCAATTTATATATTAACAAGTGTAGAATTACAACTATTTAATACTACACTAGCTTTTACTATATAGAAAGAACTGTATATTTATCAGAGAATATATCATCTGTTTATATTATACATACCAACAAACTTATTTTAGGTTTCAGAGTACAAAATTAAAATTTGAAGACGAAATTGTTTTTGATCTATTTTACTTAAAAGATAAAATTTTTTGACACTTTTTTTGAAGAGACGAACTTATAAGAAACATAACTACCTAAATTAGATTTGCTCTTGCATATAAAAAAATTCAAATTGCTCTAATAGAAATAAAATAGGGTTTTTTTAAAAACCTATTTCGGTGGCATATATAGTCCATATCTTTCCTATTCGGCAATTACTATCATTCATTGTCATAATGCGTAGAAGAGGGAGTACATGAATGTGAAATATCAGAAATATTATCAGAATGATCTTTGCACACTTCTAAGTGTTGTTTAGTATTATTCTATATGATTAAAGAATAAAAAAATATATATGTGATGACAATTAGAAAGAAAAAAAAGCCAAAAATTTAATGGAAACAATTAGATATATTTAACTACTTACTTCAGCATTACTATCTCCTAGCTGTTGTATATTATTAACTTGTTTAGATTAGGCTTCTATGCGGAAATGAATTTCTCTACCAGTAAGAGAGGTAGTTGTGATTGTAGGATTAAATATCATATCAATTACTGCAATAGCAAATTCTTGATTGAGCTTTGAATAGCGATCTCTAAATACTTCAGTTATAATATGACATATATATATCACGAGGGTCAGCATCTTCTGATAGATCAACTGGCACCCATAGTTTAAATTTTGTTTCTAACATTGCCAGGCTTGTTTTCTATGTTAATACTTCTTTCTTAGAAGCTTTCTGCCTAGGAATATCATCTATAGCTATCTTGCCAAGAATATTAACTATTGTTGTCTTTATTTTTCGTACTTTATTAGCTCGTCTGACACGATATTGTTGGCAAGCCTAATAGCTGTTAATAAATATATTATTTTAGTATTTGTAACAGATTTACAATAATAAAATTAAACAATTTTAAGATATTTTACATCATATTGAATAACATTTCCCAATATTTATCCCATCCTTTTTAAAAATTTTTAATTTGAATTATTTTTTTATAATAATTCTTTTTGAGCTTGTTATAACACATATTTTTCATTACTAAATCACTTGCGTTTTTATCAATCTCAAACTACTGTACATATTTACTAAAAACTATTTTTTAATTTTCTTTTTGCTTTGTAAATACTTTAGGTATTGTCACATCATTATTATCATCATTGGTGCTAGTTATAATTTGTATAAGATTTTGTATTAATTTTTTAATATGAGATATTATATTTTTAGTTTCATGAGC